CTCTCGGGTCTCTGTTGTCTCCCTCTGGTCTCTCTCTGGTCTCTCTCTCTTGTCTCTCTCTTGTCTCTCTCTCTGGTCTCTCTCTGGTCTCTCTCTGGTCTCTCTGGTCTCTCTCTGGTCTTTTTCTGGTCTCTCTCTCTGGTCTTTCTCTGGTCTCTCTCTCTGGTCTCTCTCTGATGGGAGTGACCAGACAGAGGCTGCACCTGCCAGAGTCATAGGCGAGGCTAAAGCTGGGGGACCTATGACTTCTGTCAGACTGTACAACAAGAACTGCTGAGCCTGGACATGTGCCATTCACTTTGTCTTTGTCCTTTTCTGGTATCTCTCGGATCTCTCTGGTCTCTCGCTTTGGTCTTTCTCTGGTCTCTCTCATGTCTCTCTCTGGTCTCTCTCTTTGGTCTTTCTCTGGTCTCTCTCTTGTCTTTCTCTCTGGTCTCTCTCTGGTCTTTCTCTGGTCTTTCTCTGGTCTCTCTCTGGTCTCTATCTGGTCTCTCTCTCTGGTCTCTCTCTGGTCTCTCCCTGGTCTCTCTCTGGTCTCTTTCTAGTCTCTCTGGTCTCTCTCTTTGGTCTCTCTCTGGTCTCTCTCTGGTCTCTCTCTGGTCTTTCCCTGGTCTCTTTCTGGTGTCTCTCTGGTCTCTCTCTTTGGTCTCTCTCTGGTCTCTCTCTGGTCTCTCTCTGGTCTCTCTCTCTGGTCTCTCTCTGGTCTCTCCCTGGTCTCTCCCTGGTCTCTCTCTGGTCTCTCTCTAGTCTCTCTGGTCTCTCTCTTTGGTCTCTTTCTGGTCTCTCTCTGGTCTCTCTGGTCTCTCTCTGACTTCTACTGTTTCACATTTCTTTCCTTTTCTTTGAGCAGCTCTCATAGTGTTGTAAATGTGCTATACACATAAATCTGACATTGCCACAGGCCTCTGCTCGTGGGCTTTGTCTTGGCGTGAATGTCGTTTCACCGTTTTTTGCCTAAGCCCCTCATTCTTCGCCACGGTTTCCACGGAGACACCGGCTGCCATCGGGGAGCGAGGTATTAATCACTGAATTAATGATTACACGGCGCCTGCAGCGAGAGTGTGGAGAATTAACCCCCGTTTAAAAAGAAGAATGGAGAGAGAGAGACGAGAGAGAGACTAGAGAGACCAGAGAGAGAGACCAGAGAGAGACCAGAGAGAGATCGGAGAGGGATCAGAGAGAGACCAGAGAGAGACCAGAGAGAGACAAGAGAAAGACCAGAGAGAGAAACCAGAGAGAGACCAGAGAGAGAGACAAGAGAGAGACTAGAGAGAGACCAGAGAAAGACCAGAAAGAGAGACAAGAGATTGACTCACTCCACACAGTCATGGAAGTGGGTCGCCTCTTGCTGAGCCTATGCAGTCATGGGAAGAACATGCAATCTCCACATAGAGGTGATCCAGTCTGGTGGTGGAATCGAACCCGGAACCTTTCTGCTGTGAAGTACAAGTCCTAACCACTGCACCGCCCAGGTCTACTTTGGCCTGTACATTGTCGAAAATAGGCACCACTTAAATTAGGTTGAGTTTTAACAAAAAATAAATGGAAATGGAAAATCAAGATCATAGACTGTGTTTTAGGAGTGGGCAGATGCGACCATATTGTATGTTTGGGTTTTTAGAGTTGTTCCTCTGATCTCTAAGGACAAATCTGAGTTGTCCCATCTCTGCTCATTTGCCCCCTACTGGCCAGTTTATTGAAACCCCAGAATAAGTCCGTTTGATGATCCGTCAGTCCTAATATTTGTTGGTACTTTACTTGGTTCCCTGTAGCGGCAGCCGGATGGCTGGAGCCCATAGAAGCCTCATGAAGCTAGCAGGTTAGCATTGTCCATCTCTGCGATCGACATGAATCAGGTGTCCTCGCCCAGATATCCCTGACTTCCTGAGCTCACAGTTAGTGTCAGCGCTGAAGCGTCCTCCATCTTTGTCTGTCCTCAGGCTGAGGGAGTGAGGATGAGGGTCTTTCATCTCATTTCAACACAACTCCGCAGTCCTTAAGGCGCGCTGATAAGAAAGCTATTATGGGAGGCTCCCCTTATGGCGGCTATAGGAGCCAGAGCTAAAGATTAAAATACAGTCAATCTGGGAGCGCTAAAGCCAAACAGACACAGCAGGAGCAGAAGCAGCAGCAGCAGAATTATTAGCTCCAGCAGTAGTTACAGTAGTAGTAGTAGTAGCTGCAGTAGTATAGTAGTATCTGTATAGTGGCAGCAGCAGCAGTAGTTGGTGGTGGTGGACAGTAGTTGTAGCAGTAGTTGCAGTAGTACTAACAATGCATTGGATATAAAAGTTATTTACTGGACACTCAACTACTACCTTGCCTGCAAGCTGAATTCTCGCGGTATTTGTGAGTTCACAAACACTCGAGAATACATCTTGTCCCGCTCCCGCCAACCCTTTTCGAGTAGAACATCTAGGTGTGCAAGCCAATCACGCGCCATTCTGGGGGTTTAGGGCGGGATATCCGGGTTTGACGAAAGCAAGAAGTGCCGGGCCGAAGCAAAACAAACATGGCTCTGCAGGAGGACGGACGCGTAGCTGAGGCTATCAAGTCAGTTTTAGCAGAATCTCCATTTTCTTTTTTGAAAGATGAACAGCGAGAGGCGCTTTGTGCATTTCTGGACGGCAACCTTGGTAGGCGGGCACACAGCGTCACTTCGCCCAATCAGCTTGAAGTATTCTGCTGCTGATCCCTCCTTTCCCCGAAAGGATTCTCCTGCAGAAGTCCCAGATTGATATTTTGGAGAACGTTCTACACAATCATCGATCTGGCTCTTGCCAGGTTAACTCAACTATTCTTTCACTCCAAACACGGTGGTGATAAACTACTACTGTAGCCACAGCTGCCCTGGGACACACTGACAGAAGCGAGGCAACCAGTCTGTGCCATCGGCCCCTCCCACCACCAACCATTCACACACACACCAGACTCATTCTAATGGGTTCCCTCATCAGTAGTTCATTGATAAATTGCTTCATGATTGGAATACGAGCTGCATCAGTAATAACAGAATAATAATCCACTGCAGCTGAGAGGAGGCTTCATTTCTGACCTGTGGCTGCTCAGGCATAAAACATCTAAGAGATCGTCCTAGTGTGGCTCATTCACAAAGATAAGATCAAAATAAAAACACCAGTAGCACAGAGAGAGAGAGAAACCGCAGATTGAAGCCCAAAATGATGAGTGAGACACAAACGGTGACTGAGCTCACAGTTTACTTTAACATGGAAGTCAATATGAGCCAGAGAGAGTTGGAGCCAAACTTCATCCCTGAGCACTTCCCTGTTGGGTTTCATTGAGCTAGCAGGTTGTCCATATACAGTCTATCATGTGTAGTGTGTGAATGTGTATTGCTTGCTAATCAATATTTAAAAAAATCCTTTGTACAGTGGAGTCTGATCATTAACAAACCATGTGTTAATTTTACTGTCATATTTTCCAAAGTCTATGTGTTTAAGTGTTGAAGGAAGCAGGTCATGCAGCAACCCTCCTCCTCCACATCTCAGCCTCGTCCAGGACCAGCTCTTTCACCCTTCTCCTCGCTCCCACCACCAGGGTCTAGGCCTCAGTGATTTCATCTCATAATCTCTCTGTATTCCCCTTCTGCTTCCTCACACAGGGCTCTGCCAAGGTCTAAGCACCAAATCTTTACCACATTTCTAAACAACAGCCTTAAACGTAATCTTGTAAAAACATGTCTTCAGAGTCGTATGTGCTGATGAATAAAGTCTCAGTTAATTTCCAACAAATATAAAATTCTAATGAAACCCTGTTTAGTCTGTTTGAGTCTCTCCAGATGGAATCAGCTTTGTGACATCACAGCGGCAGACGTATTGCTAAGACGGTTGCTAATGTGGTGATGTGGATCTGCATGGCCACCAACAGGAGGCGCACGGAAGTATAAAATGCCTCAGTGCGCCTCTCTCTGTCTACGCCGCGCAGACTTCCGCCTCCCGTGTCCACCATCCTGACAGTACAGGTAGCGTCCTTCAGACCTTTAATAATCTCACATCTTTATTTATTGAATTGCCTTTCTGTGGCCTAGGGGTGTGCTGTAATGGGTCGCGTTCGTTTGCCACTGGCTCAGCTTCCTGCCCTTTTTCTGTGGGTCCAGGTGTGGGCTGGACCCAAGATGTTGTGCACAACGGCCTACTGACCGTGCGCAATGACAGCGTTCCAGAGGGCAGGATGCAAGATCTGGACGTGACCCCCGCTGCCATCTCGCCTTCTTTTTCCACTTTACTTCTCTTGTTCAGATACTTGTCTTTTATATTGCTAATACGACACAGGGACAAATTGATTTATGTAATGTGAACGTGAACAAGCTTTTGTACACTTGTGAAAAACTAGAGTGAGAGAAACTGATTTTAATAAATGTGCTCACTCATGGATCATGCCTCCTTGTATGAACTTACCTGTGTGCCTTAGGGCGTTTTATTTTATTTTGGGTTTAAAAACCCTGGCGTTGCTGGTATGTTAGTGCACCGAAAGTGAGCCCACGACCCTCGTAATGCTACACTAAGAAGAGCTGGAGTGAATGAAGACTGATTGGTCAAGGCTTATATTACTGTTACGGCCGCTGACAGATAGCTTCTCCTCCCAGGTGGAAGCGGCGCTCATTGGTGTGTGCGTCACAGAAAGAACGCCTCCTTTTGTATGGTTTTCTCTGGTTTGGTTTGCTTAGCTTCAGTTTGGTTCGTTTGGTTCGGTTTGTGTTGGTATGTTTTGTTTTATGTCCAACACACCATTCACCATTCAACCTCTCACAGCACATACACCACACTCCCTCACTACAGACTCCCACACTTCATCAAAATATTAACCTTGGATCGTTCATAAACATGATTTAAATTGGCAACTGTTGTTTGGTGTGTTTCTGTCATTTCTACTGAGCCGGTTTATGACATTGCTCATTTCTGTATTTACAAAGACAGAATCAAAGAGTAAACACAGACAGCGATAGACTCAGATGTCAAAGGCCTACGTGGAGCCTGTACCTGGGAGAGATGTCACAGCCCTGCTGCATGAAGGCGCCCAGGGAGAACCAGAGCGAGTTGAAGATCCCGAACTCATTGGGGGGCTGGTCGCTGGGCGGACCGTCGGTGCCCTCCTCGGGCTCCTCGGTGTGCCACTCGTACGGGCTGAAGCGGCTGACCAGGAAGAGCACCACGCTCACGCCGATGTAGGCGAACACGATGCACATCCAGATCTCGTAGGCCAGCGGGTCCAGAAAGGAGAAGACGCCAGGTTTGGACTTCTGCGGCTTTTTGATCATGATAGAAATGCCCAGAGACATGAAGGGCTTCGAGAAGTCGATCACCTCCTCCCGGACCAGCGTGATGGTTAAAGGGGCCACAGCGATTTCCGCTTTCTACAAACACACACACACACACACACACACACACACACACACACACACACACACACACACACACACACACACACACACACACACACACACACACACACACACACACACACACACACACACACACACACACACACACACACACACACACACACACACACACACACACACACATACACACACACACACACAGAGACATATACATAGACACACAGTTAGAATCAGTGGACAGAGGAAAATGCACAAACACACTACACTGCTTCAGCTGATCCAGGACACTGCACATTCAGCAATTTTTATGGACAAAAGTTTTACTCCTTTTGGAATTGTGTGTTAATGTTTTTCTTTTCTATTGTATTGTACAGTGAAAAATTCATTTGAAATAAAGACAACGGTGGCCTCTGCTCCTTTTGGACCAATGTCTCTGTGTTTGTTATCGCTGCATTCCCTGTGTTTGTGTCTGATTCTCTGATCTGTGCAGGAGAATCGACATCTTAGCAGAGATAAACACTGCTGTGATTTAGGGCGATACAAAAACAAATTGAATGAATTGAAATTGAGGCTCCTCCGTTTCCTTTGAACGTCCTCATGTCCCCCTCCACAAAACAATCCCACACTGCAAAAAGTCATGATAAATAAGTCAACATTTGTTCAACTTTGGCAAACTTTTAATTTGATCACATTCTGCCTTAATGGGACAAAGCTAAATGATATTTTTTCAAAGGATACAGAAATGTGACTATTTCTTTGTCCCATTGGAAAATCTAGTTTTAAAGCGATCAGAATCTCTCAGATTAAGATAAAACCACTGGATTTGATGATTTCCTCACATTTGATTTTTTGCAGTGCGGTCCTTTCGTTTGGTCTGTGCACGTGTGAAGCTGCAGAAATGCGAGCTCATCACTGCGCTGTTCCCACGGCGACAGCGGCTGCGACAGAGCTGCAGCTGCGGACCCGGACCTCCACCTCCCATCACACTGATGCTATATACTGTACATATGTATACCGGCTAAATGTAGCTTATGATGCTATATATATATATATATATATAATATATATATATATATATATATATATATATATATACAAGCTAAATGTAGCTCATGATGCTATATACATATACATACAAGCTAAAGCTAAATGTATCTTATGATGGTAGCTTGAGGCTGAGAGAGCTTTTGGTTTAAACATAAACTTAACTGTTCCACATCTTTAACAAGCTCTAAATAATGGAGTCTGTCCATCTGTAACATGTGCTATTGTCCACATAGTTCTATTGTCCACATAGTTCTATTGTCCACATAGTTCTATTGTCCACATAGTTCTATTGTCCACATAGTTCTATTGTCCACATAGTTCTGCTTCAGCTTCAGCCTCTTCTACCAAAAACAACAGTACAGACTAATACCATGTGAGCAGATGTATCCCTTGCTGGTCTCTCTTTCATTTGAAGTTAAAATAAAATGTAACGTCACTGACTTTGAACTGAGTCGGATATGACCTACCCTGGTCTGACCACACCATAGTACAGATTTCATTTTGTACTAAGGTCTGGATTTGCTCCATTGACTCCGTTAACAGGTGGGAGGGGTTAACTCCTTTTGCAGATTGAAACGATTGGATCTGAGTTTACCGTGACGTATGTAATGAGCTTGAGTGAATGAGACATTTAGCAATTAGCCTAACGTTAGCATTTAGCCTAGCTTTAGCCATCTCCTTTGCCGCTAACGGAGCCCGTGGGGAGTAGCGCCACAATTTTTTCTAGCGAGTACATTTGCTAAACATCCTATTGCTCCGGCTTCATTTTCTTGACAGAACCAGACCGGATAAAGGATGTCTTATTACTTTTCTATCGCATTTTTTGCCATTGCCAAACTACAACCTGCCCGTTCTGCGCAAACTCTTGACGTCACCCACAAATAAATACAACACTCTCCTCCCGCACTCTCTGATTGGTCGGTCGACATTCAACCGATTGTAATCGCAAACACAAGGACCAGACCCAGACGTTACATGTAGGAAATGATGCTTGATCAGAGTGTACGGATGGATAAGGCCAGGCTAGATATGACCAGGTGTCTTTGGAACCACAGCAGCAGTTTTCTCTGAGGACTTTACAGAACTGTCGACTCTCTGACACAGATCAGAAAATCAAAGAGTTAAAATTAGAAATGCAACGATAACAAACACCATTTATTGTTCAATGTCTTTGTGTTTTGGGTTCATCCTGGAATGTGTTTAACCCTTTAGTGGTCACTCCCTGGAGAAAGCAATGCACGTGTTTTTGATTTTCCAAAGATTCTAATGACACAAATAATGAGTTTTTAAAGCCCTTTGCTTCATGTTCAGCCTTTGAACTGTTCTGTACAGAGGAAAGTTCTGGAACAAAGGAAACAGAGGCATTTCTCTGCTACATTTCCTCCCCACTAATCCCACGTCTATTTTATACATTGTGTCTTTTGTACTCGTCACAGCCAGGTGTGTTTTATCTCCTCTCCTCCAAGCACTTTCTGATGACGGGGCAGGGGGGGGGTCTGTAGATCGTGCCTTTGGGAATCCCAGGCTGATCCCAGGTCAGTGAGAATCGCCTCTCAGCTGTTTCTGCAGGTCCAGGGCTTAACGTGGCTCCACTTCAGATGTGACCTATTTAAGCTGCAGAGACCACGGACTGCAGACACCATGGACTACAGACACCATGGGCTGCAGACACCATGGGGTGTGGAGACCATGGGCTGCAGAGACCATGGGCTGCAGAGACCATGGACTGCAGAGACCACGGACTGCAGACACCATGGGCTGCAGAGACCATGGACTGCAGAGACCATGGGGTGCGGAGACCATGGGCTGCAGAGACCATGGACTGCAGAGACCACGGACTGCAGACACCATGGGCTGCAGAGACCACGGACTGCAGACACCATGGGGTGCGGAGACCATGGGCTGCAGAGACCATGGACTGCAGAGACCACGGACTGCAGACACCATGGGGTGCGGAGACCATGGGCTGCCGAGACCACGGGCTGCAGAGACCATGGACTGCAGAGACCATGGACTGCAGAGACCATGGACTGCAGAGACCATGGACTGCAGACACCATGGACTGCAGAGACCATGGACTGCAGAGACCATGGACTGCAGACACCATGGACTGCAGAGACCATGGGCTGTAGACACCATGGACTGTAGACACCATAGACTACAGACACCATGGACTGTAGACACCATGGACTGTAGACACCATGGACTACAGACACCATGGACTGTAGACACCATGGACTACAGACACCATGGACTACAGACACCATGGACTGTAGACACCATGGACTACAGACACCATGGACTGTAGACACCATGGACTACAGACACCATGGACTACAGACACCATGGACTGTAGACACCATGGACTACAGACACCATGGACTGTAGACACCATGGACTACAGACACCATGGACTGTAGACACCATGGACTACAGACACCGTGGACTGTAGACACCATGGACTACAGACACCATGGACTACAGACACCATGGACTGTAGACACCATGGACTACAGACACCATGGACTACAGACACCATGGACTGTAGACACCATGGACTACAGACACCGTGGACTGTAGACACCATGGACTACAGACACCATGGACTACAGACACCATGGACTGTAGACACCATGGACTACAGACACCATGGACTACAGACACCATGGACTGTAGACACCATGGACCACAGACACCATGGACTACAGACACCATGGACTGCAGACATCATAGAAAACATGGACCACTGAGACAATGGTCCCAACCACTGTCTCAGAGGAAAGAGGAAAGCCACTGGAGGAATGATAATTATTTTTATTGACGCTAATAAAGCATTGAGAATTTCACTCTGAACCAGAGCTGAGGGAATGGTCGAAACCAATCAGACTCTGCACATCACCTGCTGCTGCTGCACTTTATTACTACTATTATTATTCTTTTAAGTGAAAGATTAAAAGTAATAACAAACATTAGAGCCCATTGAATGAAGAGGCACTGACCCCGTACACCAGCTCCCCGACCATGCCGTTCCAGATCTTGGTCTCCGGGTCCCGGGCGCCGTACTTTCCGTCCGGGACGATGGAGATCTTGTACTTGATGCCGATGTGTTTGGCGATCTCCGAGGCCAGGTCCACGCAGTAGCCCTCGTACTGGTCGTTCCCCTCGTACATCTCCCAGTTCTTCTTCAGCATGACGTACGGCCCCTCCTGACGGCAGCGGCACAAGCAGAGGGGGCGGAGCTTATGACCAGGGTTAAGGTTAGGGTTAAGGTGACCCACTTTCACATGTGTGAAACCTCTCGGTTACATTCGCCAAAGCAAAACTAAACTAAACAAAGTCTCTCCCTGACCTTGCACCAAACTACATCTGAGACATGTAGGAACCAACTCTGAGGAGCACAGGGACTGGCCTCCTGCTGGGACTCTGAAGAGCACAGGGACTGGCCTCCTGCTGGGACTCTGAAGAGCACAGGGACTGGCCTCCTGCTGGGACTCTGAAGAGCACAGGGACTGGCCTCCTGCTGGGACTCTGAGGAGCACAGGGACTTGCCTCTGGGTTTTATTCAGGACTTAGGGTTGCCTTGTGTATGAACTCCGAACATTGTAAAGTGCTTTGGGTGACTGTCTTTCTGACTGTTGCACTGAGCCAAAGCAATTTCCAAGTCTGTGACTTCTTGTTACTTTCGTGCCAATAAATATGATTCTGATTCTGATATCGACCTCAATAACCCTACACACTGTAACTGCAGGAGGCCACAGAACATGAAATGTAAATTTTGTAAATCCTTTCAGATCCAATTGAACCAGTTTCAGTGATGACCTCAGAGGTTCTGAGTTTCTTGTTCTGACTAAAGTCTTATCGCTGCAGGAACAAAAGTCTCAGATTTGTAGAATCTGCAGAATTTGAGAATCTTTGAAGAATAATAAACAGCTGTTTACACCAAACTGCAACTTTACAGATTCCACAAAGAAAACATTTGTTAAAGAAGAAGTACAGTAGAAGAATCTGTATTTTCTTTATAAACCTCTGACTCTTGTACAGTTCTAACAGGTTTCTGCTTCTTCAGAACACCAAAAAAACACCAGAAACCAGACACCGAACAGAAAACACAAGACAGAAAACAGAAGTGACTGTCTTTATAATGTTATGGTAAAACTGTGACTAATGTTCTCTTCATGAGCAGCATGTTCCAGCTCAGGTCCATCAGTGTCCCCTTTACACAGCCCCAAAGACACTTCAGTTATTTTCACGTAATCTACTGAATCCTCAGAGCTTCATTCTCAGACGTGTTACTGCAGCTCCACTTGTTCTGGGACAAAGTCACTTTAAGGCAGTACATCATGTTCCACTTAAAACTAAAAACACACTTGCATCCACACGCACACTCCAAGGGGCGCACCCCAGGGGTCTATCCTTGGGCCGCCAGATTAAGTGGCTTCATCAGCATAAATTAAGTGTAATGTTCCATAAATATGTTGCTTCTTTGATAAAATGACAAACTCTTGACTCACACAGAGGTCTGAAAGTTGTGAAAAGAATCTTATGGACACATCACAGTAAAAAATTAAAACCTGATATTAGGACTAGACCCTGGAGGGTGCACTGCCTGCTTCAAGCCAGGGGAAAACCAGTGTTAGCTGTAGAGCTGCTAAAACCAGGATCCTGACCCGCTGTGATGTCACCAGGACCATGACCCGCTGTGATGTCACCGGGACCATGACCCGCTGTGATGTCACCGGGACCATGACCCGCTGTGATGTCACCAGGCAACAGTTCTGCCACCTGGTGGTCAGAGGTGAAAGTGGAGGACTGAGTGTGAGATGAGGTTCTTCCTGTCGTCAGCCTCCCTCCAGGAGGACAGTGTTGACAGCTGCAGATCCATTATTAGGATGTGAGAAATGTTTTGAAGAAATACAATGTTTCAAATGAATGTTTTTGATGATTTTAAGAACTTTGTAGTTTTATAGTGACACAATTAAGGACTTTTTCCACCACTGTACGCAACATTTTCTACACACAAAGTGTGAAAAGAACAAAGGTTTTAGTCCCAAAATGAACACAAATATAACATCATATTGTTCTTTAACAAAACATGGATGGGAGCCAGATCAGTCGAGCACAATGACACCATGCTAACTTGCTATGCTAGCTCCGCTAGCTGTGCTGACTCTGCAGACAGGCAGGACAACATGAAACAACAGACTGTGGAGACTTGCGATCATTGGGCGAACGTCAACATTGTCTTCGGCACAAAGTCCTTTTGCAGAGTCTCTACGCTACGCCATGGACCAGGCCAGTCTTCGTCCTCCATGACGTCCGTCTGTGTCCAGTGTCCTCAGTTTCTTAAAAGCGGGTGGGTCGTCAGGGGCTGTAAAGAGGAGCAGTGTGCTGAGCCTCACGCAGCTCACACTGAAGCCCTGTTTGCACACCTTTGTTATGACTGTATTGTTGTGAAGACCTGCCACAAACTGTGTAGTTAGACCCACAGAGCTAACCGCTATAAGCTACAGTAAAGTCCTACACCTCCCTTTGGCTCCCATTCACAGGATTGTGGTCAACTGATCTGGCTCCTGTTCATGTTTCGTTAAAGAACAATATGATGTTATATTTGTGTTAAAAATATTTGTGCTTTTCACACTTTGTGTGTCGTTACTTTAAGAGTGATGTATTTCTGTGTTTGTTCGGATGGATGTGTTTCTGCTGCTACTCTCCTGCATTTCTCCTTCAGGATCATAATAAAGCATCTATCCATCATCTATCTGTCTATTTTGGATTTTATGCATAATTTGCACAGTTTTTCTTTGGACCCAGTGCCTCTGCTGTCGTCCCAACTGTCTCAACTCCACCTCCTCATCCAGTCTGTACCACAGTATTTACAGCAGACATATTTACAGTACACATATATGCCGTATAATTAGGGAAAAGTAAGGCGTGTAAAACAGACAAGTTGAATCAATAATGCAGCAGCCAAACACAGCACACAGTCCACAGATTTTTAACATGAGGCAAATGTAAAGGGACATGTATCATAACATCTGGACGAGGTGTTGCTGCTCCAGTCCTGTGTGGCTCTGGATTCTCATAGACCTCGGTGTGAACTAAACCACCTCGTCCTCAGCGACACAGATCAGTGGGATTTTAAGTGTCCCTTGCCATTCTGAACTCTGTGGCCATATGATCCAACTCAGACTCTGAGGAGCACAGGGACTGGCCTCCTGCTGGGACTCTGAGGAGCACAGGGACTGGCCTCCTGCTGGTCCCAGCGTCAGGACTAAACAAGAGGAGGCAGCATTACAGATTATACGCCTTTCTCCTACCACGACCACCGACCACCATGACCTCTCCATGGTGTCGGACTGTTCCCTCGCTCACAGATGTCGATTAAACACCAGAGTTGAACAATGTTCTGTCCACAGGTCTCACATTAACACTGTCTTTACTTTGTCTGTTTTACAGTTTTTCCGTACTCTAGAGAAGAGCCTGGACTTGTATCTATCTCTCCTGTCTTACTTCAAAATTCCGATTATCAAATACCAGAGGTGGGAACAAGCCGTTGTTTTGAAAGTCACAAGTGAGTCTCAAGTCTAGAGTTTTTGAGTGTGCGTGTGTGTGTGTGTGTGTGTGTGTGTGTGTGTGTGTGTGCGTGCATGTGTGTCTGTGTATGAATGTACTGTATGTGTGTATAAATGTGTGTGCATGTGTTCGTGTCTATACAGTTTATGTGTGTATAAATGTGTGTGCTTGTATAAGTGGGTGCATATGTGCGTGTGTGTGTGTGTGTTTAAATGTGTGTATGTGTGTGTGTAAATGTGTGTCTCACCATGATAGTAGTGACCACCACAGTGCGGTTCTCCATCCCTGAGGTGTCGTTGGGCAGAAGGGGAGAGTCCTGGATCAGAACCAGTTTGTCCGAGTCGCTCCAGTATCCGATCTATACACACAGACACACATCAACACACAAGAGACACTCAGGGGCCTCCACCAGCACCAGGGGCCCCAGGACACTCAGGGGCCTCCGCGAGCACTAGGGGCCCCAGGACACTCAGGGCGTAGAGCCTCTAGTATCACCACGGGCTTTGTTAATGGCAAAGGAGATGGCTATAGCTAGTCTAAAAGCTAGGTTAAATGCAAAAGCTAGGCTAAATGCTAAAGCTAAGCTAAATGCTAAATGCCTCACTCAGTCGGGCTCATTACATACTGTACGTCCTGTAATGTAAACAGGACTTAGACCCTCCCAACTGTTAACGGAGTCAATGGAGCACCTCCAGACCTTAGTACAAAATGAAATGAGTACAATGTGTGGTACGACCAGGCTAATACAAAATAAATAGAATTGAATTGATGGTCTGCAGAAAAAGCGTTAGTTGGACCACATTTGTGCCCATGGTCAGGGCGGCCTCTGTAGCAGCTGGACCTGGACACACAGACGTTGGCCCAGAGCCAGTGGTCATGGGTCCAGCAGCAGATGTTCAGACACTCCCTCTGAGCTGCAGGGGATTATGTTCATGTTGTTCCTGAGATCAGAAGGACGTCAAGTCTCAGGGACCGGCTTATCCTGGACTGAGGAACCTCTTCTCCAGGTCAGAGAGGACCCCACATGGACAGAGAGGACCCCATACGGACAGAGAGGGCCCCACATGGACAGAGAGGGCCCCACATGGACAGAGAGGACCCCACATGGACAGAGAGGGCCCCACATGGACAGAGAGGGCCCCACATGGACAGAGAGGGCCCCACATGGACAGAGGAGGACCCCACATGGACAGAAAAGACCCCACATGGACAGAAAGGACCCCACATGGAGACAGAGGATGACCCTACATGGACTAGAGAGGACCCCACATGGACTAGAGCGGACCCATAGACTGTATATATTAACGGAAAGAGTCACGCTTATCTTTGCCGTTCTAACTAATGGGCCAAAAATGTGCTCTACTGGAGCAATCCAAAATGGCCGCGAGCGGTCCCGCCCACAAGAAAATTGTGAAAAAACGCATCTGCGCATGCGTCAGCCGGCACAACTCCATTCATTTGAACGAGAGACTTAAAAAATTCACAGCAAGTAAACTAGAGTGGACCAAAAAAATCCACCCCCTCAGCATTGACACACATGTGGAACGGAGCTTTGGGCCAAGAGCCAACTTTTGGTCCATCCTGTAAAGACGTTTTTGAGAGGTCTGCCAATGCTGTATGTTAGCATTGGCTAATTCTACTTCTGGGTCCACCCCCATCGGCCCGGGGTGGTATTGCAGCATGTCAGCGCACGTCATTTTGGCCACTTTTGAGCTGGGACCCTCCCCCACTGAGCGGACCCCAGATGGACAGAGGAGGACCCCACATGGACTAGAGAGGACCCGAGATGGACAGTGGAAGACCCCAGATGGACCGACTCCAAGGCAGAATCTTCCTCATGAAAAGCCAAGTTCCAGCTTCTTCCCCCTGGCAGAAGATGTCGTTGGCTGAAGGACATCTGGACATGCTAACATGCTTACATCTTCTCTCAGCTGTTCTCAGTTTGAACAAAACACTTTAATGATCTTCACTTGTATTGAAACTGTTTTTGTTTATTGGTTTCACAGTGATGATTGTTTCTGTACTTTTTAACATGTTTTATTCCTGTGCTTTTTACCTTGCGGACTCTTGCACATGTATTCCAATGTGGTTTTACTGCAAATGAATGAATCATGAATCTGAATCAGTGCTAGTGTGGCGTTAAACTCATGGGACGTGTAGATATTCTTCTGCTGACGTGACTCTGTGGGAAATGTTTGTTCTGGTAATGGCGTTTATCTGTTTGCCCCACGGCGTCTCTGGGCTCGGCGAAGGACTTTCCCCTGGTCTGGGAGGGTGAGCTGTGATTGGGCGATGACCTAGGGGGCGTGGTCCCACTGCTGATAGATGGGGCTGGCTGCTCGTGTCCCTGAAAGACCCTGGTGTGTGTTAGCTGGTCTGACGCCCTCTGATGGATGCCCCCCCCCTCACTCGCTCGCTCAGGCTGGTTCGCACACAGACTTCAGATCTATTACAACAATATGGATCCAACTGAGAAACTGTGGAAAAATGCACGTTTATGATAACTACAACACAGAATGTACGGTTGGAATTTGAATTTCATTATTCTGTTCCCAGAGGTCTCCCATTAGAGCACTTACCAGGCCCTGCCCTGCTTAGCTTCTATTCTATATTCATTGTTACTTATTATCCACATTTTATTAATGACACGGATGTGACGTATTCATTTACAATCTCACCCCAACATGGTCTAACCCCACATGGTCTCATCCTACATGGTCTAACCCGTACGTGGTCTAACCCCACATGGTCTAACCCCAGATGGTCTCACTCCTCATGGTCTTATCCCTCATGGTCTCAACCCACTTGGTCTCAACCCACTTGGTCTCAACCTACATGGTCTCTCCCCCATAGTCTCTCCCTACATGGTCTCGCCCCACATGGTATCTCCCTTCATTGTCTCTCCCCACATGGTCTCTTCCCACAAGATCTCTCCCCACATGGTCTCTCCCCCATGGTCTCTCCCCATATGTCTCTCCCTACATGGTCTCTCCCCACATCGTCTTACCCATGGTCTCTCCCCACATGGTCTCTCCCTTCGTTGTCTCTTCCCACATGGTCTCACCCATGGACTCTCCCTACATGGTCTCTCCCCCATGGTCTCTCCCCACATGGTCTCTCCCCACATGGTCTCTCCCTTCATTGTCTCTTCCCACATGGTCTCACCCATGGACTCTCCCTACATGGTCTCTCCCCACATGGTCTCTTCCCCATGGTCTCTCCCCCATGGTCTTACCCCCATGGTCTCTCCCCATGGTCTCTCCCAACTTGGTCTCTACCTACATGGTCTCTCCCCACATGGTCTTACCCGTCTTGGTCCGTTGCTCTTCAGCTCAAACACGTCCATGGTGTAGTTGACTCGTCGGCCGTAATGATCGAACTGGACATTACCTGTGAGTCCCTGCAACCGCACCTACACACACACACACACACACAACATACAGACACACATAAAGACACACACACATCATACAGACATACACACACACGGCAAACACACACACACACACAGAGGCACACACACACACACACAACATACAGACACACACACACGCAAACATTCACACAGTATACAGACACACACACACATCATAAAGACACAGACACACAAACACATACAGACACACACACACACACAACATACAGACAGATACGCACACACACACACACACATACAGAGACACACACACAGACACAATGTTCTGTAACAGTTAATTTTAATCTGAATCATTTCTCTCTATGTCCCCTACATGTGTTTGTGGGTCCCCTGCATGAGGGGGTCTGACCTGCTTGAGGGTCCCCTGCATGAGGGTCTGACCTGCATGAGGGGGTCTGACCTGCTTGAGGGTCCCCTGCATGAGCGGGTCTGACCTGCTTGAGGGTCCCCTGCATGAGAGGGTCTGACTTGCTTGAGGGTCCCCTGCATGAGTGGGTATGACCTGCTTGAGGGTCCCCTGCATGAGGGTCCCCTGCATGAGAGGGTCTGACATTCTTGAGGGTCCCCTGCATGAGGGTCTGACCTGCTTGAGGGTCCTCTCCATGTCCAGGCCTTGGTTCCAGGGCGCTGCAGGGTTAGCGAGACAGTCTCCTGCGTTTCCTCGTCTGGAGATGTCCACCTTCTGTCTGCGCAGAGCCCTGAAGGCCTCAGCCATCACCATCACACCATCGTAGGTCAGGGCAGACGTGTACTGAGGATTGAGACCAGGTGAGACCAGAGACCAGGAGAGGACAGAGACAAGGTGAGACCAGAGACCAGGAGAGGACAGAGACCAAGTGAGGGCAGAGGCCAGGAGAGACCAGAGACCAGGTGAGGGTAGAGACCAGGAGAGGACAGAGACCAGGTGAGGGCAGAGACCAGGAGAGACCAGAGACCAGGTGAGGGCAGAGATCATGTGAGGCTAGAGACCAGGTGAGGGCAAAGACCAGGTATAGATTTGTATCGCCCTAAATTCCAACACTATTTTCTCGGAGGACTTTACAAAGTTGTCGATTCTCCAACACAGATCAGAGCATCAAACACAAACACAGGAAAGGCGACAATAACAAACACAGTGTACCATCATGTACCATCGTGTACCATCGTGTACCATCGTGTACCATCCTGTAACATCGTGTACCATCATGTACCATCATGTACCATCGTGTACCATCGTGTACCATCGTGTACCATCATGTACCATCGTGTACCATCATGTACCATCCTGTACCATCCTGTACCATCGTGTACCATCGTGTACCATCGTGTACCATCGTGTACCATCGTGTACCATCGTGTACCATCATGTACCATCGTGTACCATCATGTACCATCCTGTACCATCGTGTACCATCATGTACCATTGTGTACCATCATGTACCATCCTGTACCATCGTGTACCATCATGTACCATTGTGTACCATTGTGTACCATCGTGTACCATCGTGTACCATCGTGTAAATGCCACTAGTGCCTCTGTCGCTCAGAGGCACTAGTGGCATTTACACGATGGACAAAGCAGAGGACAAAGTTCCCTACAGGGATGACTAAAGTACACATTTACATTTATGCACACACACATAAGCATACACCCACAAACACACGTGCACACACGTGCGCACACAGACGCACACACACTCACACACTCTGGAACTCACAGAAACCCTGACTGTGATCTGACAAATGCACGACAAAGTGGAGATTTCATTACTTCAACATTATATTTAACATATATTTAAGATATTTTTATCATATATTTGAACATGTGGGTCAGATGAAGGTTAGTAAACAACTCAGTCCTTTGCATAATGACAGCCTAATGGGTGAGTCAAGCTCAGAGACCGTATGCTAGGAGTGGAAGACAGAGTGTGACATCACCAGTGTCAGCCTTAATGTGGAGAAAGTAGATTTGAACAAAATCTGGATTAACTTTTCTTATGTGGGCGTTTGTGGTCTTATGTGGGCTAACTCGGACGGAGTTAGCTTTGTGCCGTAACGGGGCAGAGGTGTTGCTTTGACGGTTGCTAAGGAAAGGGGATTTTCTTTAGCGAATGAAGGTTTCTGATTGGTCGATCCTTACATCGGGCGGCACGGTGGCGGAGTCGATAGCACTCTCGCCTCTCAACATGAAGGTCCTGGGTTCGAATCCCGGTCGGACCAGGGCCTCTCTGAGTGGAGTTTGCATGTTCTCCCCGTGTCTGCGTAGGTTTCCTCCGGGTACTCCGGTTTCCCCTACCACTAAAAACATGTACAATAGGTCTGGCATGTGCCTCCTGTACCGGCGACCCCACTCCCATCTCTGTGTGGAGTGAGAGGACAAGTGCCCAAAAAAAAATGGGCATTTGTGACTCTGGTCTGTGAGAGGCGGTATATAAATTAAGATTACTTAAATCAAGATTACTTATATCATGATATAAAGGTGGAAGCGGGGGAGGCTGGTGTTGTAGGTCAGTGTTGGTGACGTCAAGAGTTTGTGCTGAATTTGCTGGTTGTAGTTTGCCGGAGAATGCTATAGTAAAATAATTTGTTCTGGTTCAATTCAAATATCAAGAAACTGAAGCCGGAGCAAGAGGAATGTTTAGTAAATGTTATTGAGGCAAAGATGTTGTGGCTCTACTCCCCACGGGCTCCGTTAGTGGCAAAGGAGCAAGCCCCGGCGATCCAAGATGGCGCCCTATTCAAATGAATGGTTGTGCTCAGTGGCGCTTTGTGACGGCATGGGGACTGAAAAGATTAGCGGAAGTCGCCTGGAACTCGCAAAGATCTATGGGAAACTCGCCTGTATTTGGGCATCGTCTGGTCCTCCCGGTTCTGTGCAGTGGATGATCTCCCATAATGCGTTGCGCCAAACACGCTTGTGAGGGTCTCACACCGGGTCTCACGCACGTGCACAGAGGGGCTCGGCCGCGCTCTGACCAATCAGAACAGTTCATCAGAGCGGGAGTTAGAGCGAGAGCCAGAGGAGCAGAGTTTGTGGCACTAAAGTGTGGATTTAAACAAAACCGAAGGATTTAAGAAGAAAAAAAGTTCAGGATGACAAGGGACACTAAAATCCCCACAAAATCTGATCTTTATGAAAACTTTAGGTTCTCTGTCAGCTGAGGTCGAGCTGTTTTAATATGCATTGAGTTCTATGGGGAAAATTTCTGGGTAGCCCACGTGAATTTAGTCTGGTCTAGTCTGCAGTACCGCGAGAATCCCCCGAGCACATGAGTTATTCAGCTACAAGCTAGTAATACCCTATCATAGACGTCGGAACTAGGGGTGCGGGGGGTGCGGCCGCACCCCCTCCGCGTGTGCCGGGAGCGAGAAGTTATCACTATCCTGCGTTCCTTGCAGCCCAAAACCCGCTCCATGCTGTCGGAGGTGCTTATGAAGCTCTGTCTGGCTAATATCTGTCGCAGCCTCTGAGCGCTCTTTCTCAGCCTTGCGCAGATTAGAGACCTGGCTACACCAGTGACGTGCGGTGGGGGATCAATCATGTGTTCATATGATTATACATCATATAAACCAACAGGACCTACAGGAACAGGAGCGGCTTATACACAATTTGTTTGGCTACAGCAGAATATGATTTAATGTCTGCATTGTTTTCTCATACAAAATGCAAACGTTTGTAAAAAGTACAAAGTGTGTTATGGGCCTTACCTTAGGAATTAATGAACAGCACAGACCACTTCAGTTAGGACCAGTTTCATGTTTAAGTCCAGATAATAGTTTGAGCACAGACATGTAATCCTCCATTTGGAAATAAGTTCAATGAGTTTTAAAAAGTAAAAAAAACGGGTGTCTCCTCCGTAAACTCCGAGTTTTGCTGCAGCCGACTCCCGGGTAAATCCAATTTCTAAATTCAACCTTACCCTTCACCTCCTTTTCTTATGATTCATATCATCATTGGAAGCAAAACATTACTCTAAGTGCATTTTAAATTATCTTAAAATGTATTATAGGTATGTTAGCCAAACCTGTAGCTGCCCTTAGCAGAAGAAGAACAAGAAAGGAGCTTTCTGATGGAATTGGATGCAGCCAAAGTTTGGGCTCACAAGCGCCCCCTTGAGGCTTTCCTCACTTACAAGCTGTGGTTGAGCGCGATTAAGACCCATATTTGCTTCAAAAACACAATTTATGAGCCATCCTCTTAAATGTAAACATGTTGATTGTAAATTAAATATTTTTGAACTTTTTAAACTGTGATAAACAGAGAAAACAGTTTGATAGCACCTCACAGGACTCTCCCTGTGAGCTGTTGCTTTTTACGTCTCCCAAGAGAGGCTGCCTCACAGCGCCGCTCTGTCAAATCTGCAATTTCAAGGTATAAATAAATGAAATAAGGCACAGCACAAATCACTTGATAAAGTGACCAAACATTATTGTATCCATTTTATTACTTTTCTTTCTATGATCTTAGGTGAGGGCCTTGCCTGCCTCATCTGACCGCACGTCACTGGGCTACACAACACAATGAAGCCACCGGAGAGACTGACGCATGAATGCGTATTGAAAAAAAAAAAGTTCAGTTTGATAAGTGACTTGCTTGATATATATTGTTTATTTTGTTTTTCTTAACAATTAAGATGGTATGTTTTTATCCAGTGTAATCCAAGTATGAGTCTCTCCCTCGACTCTCCCAACAAAAACCCGCCCCCCCTCTCAGAAAATAGTTCCGACGTCTATGTACCCTATCCAGTTATTATAATAGATCCATGCAAAGGAGATGGCTAAAGCTAGGCTACATACTAAAGCTAGGCTACACGCTAAGTATTCGGGCTCATTACATACGTCACGGTAAACTCAGATCCAATCGTTTCAATCTGCAAATGGAGTTGCTCCCACCTGTTAACGGAGTCAATGGAGCAAATTTAGACCTAAGTACCCAATGAAATGAGTACCATGGTGTGGTAAGACCAGGCTATGACCAGGTTTTGTATGTCTTACCTTACTGCGTTACAGATATAAGAAATATATTTACACCATAACATTACTTTTGTAACAGATTGCTTCCAAAACTGACCACCATAGAGTGTGTGTGTGTGTGTGTGTGTGTGTGTGTGTGTGTGTGTGTGTGTGTGTGTGTGTGTGTGTGTGTGTGTGTGTGTGTGTGTGTGTGTGTGTGTGTGTGTGTGTGTGTGTGTGTGTGTGTGTGTGTGTGTGTGTGTGGGTGTGGGTGTGTGTGTGTGTGTGTGTGAAACAATAGTGACGTGTGAGCCGTGTCCAAAAACACATGACGTGTGAACTGTAAAAAGCGGGTGCATTATTATTCACAGTTATTATTCAAGTGCTAGTTCTGCTGATGACCATGTGACCGCACCATCAGAGCCTATTAACACATGAATGTAACTGGGCAAAGTGTCTCCTCTGAGTCCAGCCAAACAGAAGATCTGGCTCCAGGGGTGTGTGTGTGTGTGTGTGTGTGTGTGTGTGCGCGCGTGTCTGTGTGTGTGTGTTTAAGTGCATGTGTGTGTGTCTGTGGGTGTGAGGCAGATGACCAGAGCAGGGCCTTCTGAAGTAGGTCAGTCTGTCACATGGTCCGGGTCGCCTCTCGTTGTGTGAGTGTATGTATTTGTGAGTGTGTGTTTGTATGCGTGTGTGAGTGTGAGTGCAGAGACACGTCATTGTCCGCCGCCGCCGCGCTCCACGCTTCGCTGAGCGGCCGTTCTGCTGCGATGGTTCTTCTTCACTGACTTCACACCAGCTGACTCAGACTGAACCAAGATCTTCATGGTCTTCACACTTTTACTGAAGCTGTTTGTGTTGATAGTTGATTGTTTTTTGTACTTTTTTAGCTTGTTTCATGTTTGTACTCGTCTGATGCACTCTGGGGGCTTTTGCACATGTTTCCAATGTGGTAAACGGATTCTGACATGCTGCAATACCACTCCTGGCCTGTGGGGGTGTACCCGGAATAAGAATTACCCAATGCTTTTTATGGCTTCTTCTTTCCTTTTAAAAACCTCTTTACAGGATGGTCCAAAAGTGGTTCTTGGTCCAAAAGTGGTTCTTGGTTCAAAAGTGGCTCTTGGTCCAAAAATAGTTCTTGGTCCAAAAGTGGTTCTTGGTTCAAAAGTGGTTCTTGGTCCAAAAGTAGTTCTTGGTCCAAAAGTGGTTCTTGGTCCAAAAGTAGTTCTTGGTCCAAAAGTGGTTCTTGGTTCAAAAGTGGTTCTTGGTTCAAAAGTAGTTCTTGGTCCAAAAGTGGTTCTTGGTTCAAAAGTGGCTCTTGGTCCAAAAGTAGTTCTTGGTCCAAAAGTAGTTCTTGGTCCAAAAGTGGTTCTTGGTCCAAAAGTGGTTCTTGGTCCAAAAGTGGTTTTTGGTCCAAAAGTGGCTCTTGGTTCAAAAGTGGCTCTTGGTCCAAAAGTAATTCTTGGTCCAAAAGTGGTTCTTGGTCCAAAAGTGGTTCTTGGTGCAAAAGTGGTTTTTGGTCCAAAAGTGGCTCTTGGTCCAAAAGTAATTCTTGGTCCAAAAGTTGTTCTTGGTCCAAAAGTGGTTCTTGGTTCCAGATGCTGTCGATGTATATGGTTTTTGGACTAGTCTAGTTTAGTCGCTGTGGACTTTTGAATGCACTCATTAAATGAAGTAGGCTAGAGCAGCTAACACATGCGCAAATGTGTTTTGTCACATTTTCCTGCCCTGCGGCGATTTTGAAAAAGTTCCACAGAAGGAAACAGTGATGTCACATTAGTTTGAAAGGCGGAGATGAGACGGAGTTGTGACTACGTCTGTTCATATTCAGAGTCTATGGAACTGTTTGATTCTCTGAGCTGTTGCTGGAGAAGTCTGAGATAAGCACTGCTGTATTTTAGGGCGATACAAGAATAATGGAATGGAACTAAGACCTGATAGACCTGTGTGAGACCTGTGTGAGCGGGACCATCAGCACTGACCTTGGGCGGGGTGTCGGAGCCGGGGTACTCCCTCTGGTCCAGCTTGTTCCAGCGCTGCATGAGCTTGATGACCATGGGGTTACTGAAGTCCACCAGCTGGAACCCCGTCACGTTGGCCCCGCCGTGCATGAAGCGCTCCAGGTTGATGTCCTTAAAGCCCTGCACACACAAGCAGCAAGAGGCAAAGGATCAGACCCAGACCCGGTCTCACTGTGGGGGTCTCAGGATCAGACCCAGACCTGGTCTCACTCTGGGGGTCTCAGGATCAGACCCAGACCTGGTCTCACTGTGAGGGTCTCAGGGTCAGGACCACCTCAGTCTCACTGTGAGGGTCTCAGGGTCAGGACCACCTCAGTCTCACTGTGGGGGTCTCAGGGTCAGGGCCACCTCAGTCTCACTCTGGGGGTCCCAGGATGTATATATGTGTACACATGTATGTGGGTATATGTATATATATGTACACATGTATGTGGGTATATGTATATATATGTACACATGTATGTGGGTATATGTATATATGTGTACACATGTATGTGGGTATATGTATATATGTGTACACATGTATGTGGGTATATGTATATGTGTGTACACATGTATGTGGGTATATGTATATATGTGTACACATGTATGTGGGTATATGTATATATGTGTACACATGTATGTGGGTATATGTATATATATATATGTGTACACATGTATGTGAGTATATGTATATATGTGTAAGCAGTGTAAGAGTACATTTGTCCATTTATACTTTTCAATCTGAAGAGACCAAAGACACAATTAATACAATACAAATTTTTATTTGTTTGGCGCATTGACCCCGGCAGTGACACTTGCAGCAATGAGATCGATTGCAGCTGAGGATGATCTCAGATCCCCCGGGGTCAATCACTGGTGGTGGCTAGAGTATGGTGTGAATGGGGCGTAGGCGGAGCGGGAGCCTAGAGCGGGAGCCAGAGCGGGAGCCAGAGCGGGAGCCAGAGCGGGAGCCTAGAGCGGGAGCCAGAGCGGGAGCCAGAGCGGGAGCCAGAGCGGGAGCCAGAGCGGGAGCCAGAGCGGGAGCCAGAACGGGAGCCAAGAGCCAGAGGGGGTGCTGGGGAGGTGGTGGGTGTTTAAGAGCCTCAGGAAGCGTTGCTTGTCAGGAAGTGGCTGCCTTTTAAACTGCCCGCTTTGCTGTGAGAGGGTTGGCAGGAGGCTGGCCTGGCTGTGTGATTGGCTGAGGCTCGAGGCTGGCAGGTACTCGGTTTTTCAGTCTGAACCTGCGCATTCAGCTTCATTTGTATTTTATGTCTAGGTAAAATGACAGACTTTTCAGGAGGAGCAAATGAGAAAAATCTATCTCTTATTTTTGGTCTTTTGAAGAGTAAAAAATTATTTCAAAAATGTACATTAAAATATATATATTAAAAAAAGAGAACCCTCACCCTGACCCTGACTCTAACCTAAGCACAGGAGAAGACCCTGACCCTGACTCTAACCTAAGCACAGGATAAGACCCTGACCCTGACTCTAACCTAAGCACAGGATAAGACCCTGACCCTGACTCTAACCTAAGCACAGGAGAAGACCCTGACACTGACTCTAACCTAAGCACAGGATAAGACCCTGACCCTGACTCTAACCTAAGCACAGGAGAAGACCCTGACACTGACTCTAACCTAAGCACAGGATAAGACCCTGACCCTGACTCTAACCTAAGCACAGGATAAGACCCTGACCCTGACTCTAACCTAAGCACAGGATAAGACCCTGACCCTGACTCTAACCTAAGCACAGGATAAGACCCTGACCCTGACTCTAACCTAAGCACAGGATAAGACCCTGACCCTGACTCTAACCTAAGCACAGGAGAAGACCCTGACACTGACTCTAACCTAAGCACAGGATAAGACCCTGACCCTGACTCTAACCTAAGCATAGGAGAAGACCCTGACCCTCCTGGTCCAGGATGAGTCCTCTGTGGTCTCAGAGTGAGACTGTACTCACCAGATTGGCCATGATGTAGTGGTATCCTTTCACATGTTTTCCCACGCTGACGATCTGCACACACACAGGCACTGTTAGAGGTACACACACACACACAAGCACACACACACACACACACACACAAGCACACACACACACACACAGTCACTGTTTGTGGCAAAGAAAAAGCCAGCCTTATCATAATATGTAAACACATACACACACGCAGACACACACTCAAGCACATACACACACACACACAGAAACACACACACCCATACACATACACACCCAAGCACATACACACACAGACACACACACACACACACACAGTCACTGTTTGTGGCACAGAAAAAGCCAGCCGTTGTGATGTGGCTTTATAATAGTATGTAAACACACACACACATACACACACACATACACGCACAGACACACGCACACACACTTGGAGGAAGCAGGCTGATGCCGAGCCCAAGTGAAGGCTGACATATGTGGAGGGCTCCCAGTGGACAAGTGAGAGGAGCCGTGAGGAGCAGTGAGGAGAGGTGACTGTGGAGTGTCATTAATTAGAGTTCCCAAGATGAGGCTGGAAACATCAGACCGAGGAAGGTTTTCATGTTTTGGAAGAAAATAAACTCTTTCGCCTGCATCTGTGAGACGATCAAGGATGTCTATCACTAACAGTCCGGGCTCACAGGGGTAGGAGCACAGATCCAAGCGTATGCAAAGAGGTGACATCAGCTCTATGCAAGAAATGGCTATAACTTCTGAGTTTTGAGTGTTGTATGGTGTATCACCCGAATTATTATCACACATGTGCTAAGGCTGGACTGAGAAACCTTTAAGAAAAGCCAAATATAGGACCTTTAACAACAATCGTCCCATCTCAAATCTGCCATTTATGGGGAAAGTCCCTGTAAAAGTTGTCTGCTAAAAAGTTTCTTATAATCAACTCTTTTGACATGTTCCAGTCTGGCTTCAGACCTCACACAGAGACTAGAGGACTGGGTTGGTGTCGCTGGCACTGCCCTAAGTTGGTTTGGGAAGTACTTTTAAATTCAGCTCTGTATGGCCTTGTCCTGCGGAGTACCACAGGGGTCAATCCTGGGGCCTCCTCTGTTCTCTACATGTGGCCCCAACCTTACAAAACCTAATGTAATCGATGCCATACTACTGTGCTTCAGGATGCAGACCTCTGTGTGTGCATAGGGGGCGCTGTGACTCACCTGCTCCAGCATGTTGGACAGCCGCTCGGCCTCCAGGTCCATGACAAACTTCTTCTCCTGGCGCCGGTCCAGGTCCTCCAGCAGCCGCCGATAGTTGGCGTCATTGAAGTTCTCCACACAGATGGCGCTCACCTGCCAGTTGTTCTGCCCCGCCTTCTCCATGATGGCCTGCAGGATGGCATACCCTGGACACAGGACCGGGGGCTGAGCACGGACTACATACTCCTGTGGCACCATGAGATATACTCCTATAGATATATACTAGATAAATAGATAGATAGATAGATACATAGATACAGAGATAAATGTATTAGATTTTTGAAGTAACTGCTGTTAAAACAAGCTCAAATGCCCATAAACGTTGATTTGACATAACACAGCCGCTTTAGGATCAGCTGAAACTGCATTATTGTTACACACTGCCTGCTTTACTGCCCTGAGCCGCAGCCAAAGTGGAATGGATGTGTCTGAGTGGAGTCTGGCGTGACTAAAGAGCGCAGCCTGGCAAAGGAGAGAGCTTTGTGAAGGCGACAGAGGACTGAGGAGGTGCTGTGTGAGCCGTCTCCAACCCCCCAGTGTGGAGCCTGCAGTGTGGAGCCTGCAGTGTGGAGCCTGCAGTGTGGGGCCCGCAGTGTGGGGCCCGCAGTGTAGGGCCTGCAGTGTGGAGCCTGCAGTGTGGAGCCTGCAGTGAGGAGGCCGCAGTGTGGGGCCTGTAGTGTGGAGCCTGCAGTGTGGAGGCTGCAGTTTGGAGCCTGCAGTTTGGGGCCTGCAGTGTGGGGCCCGCAGTGTGGAGCCTGCAGTGTGGGGCCCGCAGTGTGGGGCCCGCAGTGTGGGGCCCGCAGTGTGGGGCCTGCAGTGTGGAGCCTGCAGTGTGGAGCCTGCAGTGGGGAGCCTGCAGATACATCAGTCACATCAGAAGCTCTAAACTTCTGAACAACCAGAATTAAAAACATAAGGTCTAGCGCAGACTTGGAGATTCTTATCTTGGATTTGTCTGCAGTAGGTCCGACTGAGTCCTGGTCTCCTCCTAGTCTTTAAAGCAGCTCTGTTTGTTATAAGTCTCTCCATGGTATCGTACCAAAGTACATCTGTGACATATGCCATCACTAACATGTCTCAAACATGTGGTTTGATTGATGAGCACAGGTCCTAATGTAAGAAAAAAGGACACAGTTCCAGTGGTTCAGATGCAGTTTCCCGACAGAGCTCTGATCCATGAGGATGTCTGTGTGTGTGTATGTGTGTGTGCGTGCGTGCGTGAGTGCATGTGTTTGTGTGGGTGTGTTGACAGTGTTTGCTCAGTGCTGACACAGTTGTGTGACAGAGAGAGAACAGTGTTTAAACAACAGTGTGACACATTTCACTGGAGGTGGAACATTTCAGATACGAGCGAATGATTTTATGAAGTACATGAGTGTGCGTGTACAATAGTTGTCATTGGATACAAGCTTTTCTGATCATGAGTTGCGGATGCACATGCAGAGTGTGTGTCATTATTCTAAACACGGTGGTGATAAATTATTACTGTAGCCACAGCTGCCCTGGGGCACACTGACAGAAGCGAGGCCAGTCTGCGCCATTGGCCCCTCCCACCACCACCAACCATTCACACACACACCAGACTCATTCTAATGTGGGGGAAGTGTCTTGCCTAAGGACACAACTACAGTTTAGCACTTTACAGCAGCAGCCGCCCCACTGTGGCACCTGCTGTTCCCAGAGGCCTCCCATCACAGCATGAACCAGGCCCTGTCCTGCTTAGCTTCAGAGGTCTGACAGGATCTGGCTTTAACTTGCAGGGGGCGCCACATAGAAAAAGAGAAACCTCCGACATCCTGTGAGTTTGAAAGTTCACTAATTCACTTGAATGTTTCTAAACGTCTCATACTCTGCAGATGAAGGATCAGGACGATGTCGATGATGAACGACTTTCCTTCTTTGAAGCAGAACAAACAAATGAAACATTCAGCGGTTTGTAAATCGCTCCATCACGAGGCTGCGGAGTCTGTTTCTGGGAAACGCAAACAGAACCTGGTGTCAGACCAAAAGGTTTATTGGAGGATTTTGGGAAAGAACCACCACTCTCCACTTTTTGAACAAAACTCTCTGGTCTGATTGGACGAGCACGTATTACCAGAATGATTGACAGTTGGGAGGACTTGATGATCCACCCGGAAGTAGAAAATCCTCCTATAAACCTCTTAATGTTTTTACTATGTCCTGTACAGTGTCCTTGGGTGTTTTGAAAGGCGCTTTTAAATGAAATGTATTACTATTGCTATTACTATTATCGAGAGAAGTTACTGGAGGCGTCTCAGAGCAGTCTCACAGAGTCTTTTCTCTATCTGTAAATGTTTCTAAAGTGTTCACGGTTTTACATTGATCCAAATCCAACAGATCAAGAAGAAATCCACTGGAGGAATTATCTATTTATACACATATTTATGAAAAGTGCCACTAAAGCCTTTGGAATTTCACTCTGAACCAGAGCAGAGAGATGGTCCAAACCAAGCAGACTCTGAATACATCAGCAGAAGATCAGTACAGTATCAATCTGTCTATGACGGGCTGATGGTACCATGTGACACAATGCAGGACACACACATGCATGTACACACACACACACACACACATGCACGTACACACACACACACACACTTGCAGTGACTGACTCCTGGTATGTCACACAAAACATCACCTTTTACATGATTTATGAAACGCTGCTTCAAAGGAGAGTGTGAGGACAGAGCATGTTGTGGGTAGGAGTCACACACACACACACGCACACACATACACACACGCACACTCCAGGCTCTAATGGGCCACACGGAGCACAGGTTAATCCACTAATTGGGAGCGAAGGGAGCGGGGCCAGTCTGCGAGGGCCACCAGCAGGCTCCGTTTAGAGCGACATCTGCCACAGACTGCACTCATTACCCTCTGCAGGTGAGAGCGGGGGGGGGGGGGGGGGGGGAGGGAGGGAGGGAGGGAGGGAGGGTACCTGACTGTGTCCATGTACCTACAATGCAGCTATTCATGTTTACAAATGTTGGCACTCTAACGTAAACAACACGATACTTTTGGAGGAAGAAGAGAAAATAACAAATAAACCTTAGGGTTCTTTCATCAATGTGTGAGGAGAGAGACCAGAGAGAGGGAAGAGAGAGACTAGAGAGAGAGAGAAGAGAGAGACCAGAAAGAGACCAGAGAGAGACCAGAATGAGACCAGAATGAGACTAGAGAGAGACCAGAAAGAGACCAGAGAGAGACCAGAGAAACTCGAGACACCCAAGAGAGAGACCCTACAGAGAACAGAGAAACTAGAGAAAGAGAAGAGAAAGAAAAGAGAGAGACCAGAGAGATGTGTATGTGTGTGTGAGTGTGAGTGTGAGTGTGAGTGTGAGTGTGAGTGTGAGTGTGAGTGTGAGTGTGAGTGTGAGTGTGAGTGTGAGTGTGTGTGTGTGTGTGTGTGTGTGTGTGTGTGCACTTGTTTCCAACTCCTGGTGGGTTCCATAACCTGAGATTCCACTCACGTCATGGGGACTGGTTTTACGTGGTGGGGCCCGAACACCGGACCCCACTGGTCCAAGCTTAATAATCAATGGGTAATGCTTTTCTAACGGTCCTTATGCAGTCTCTGTAAAAATATGGAAAGGACCCCTGGAGGTTTACTTTCCTGAAAAAAGTGTGTTATGTGTCGGAACCCTGGTGGTGGGTTGCGGGATATCAAGGAGGGGCACACTGGGGCAATTTCAGTCCAGCAGGCTGGAGCCAATCATGGAGCAGCACAACAGAGGAAATCAGGTGTCAGGCTAGAAAAAGGTGCAAGTGTGTGGTTCATTAGGCTGCAAGAAATCATGGAGGAGCACACTGAAGCGCACGCTTACAAACCACTGGTAAGTGCTGACTACAAGTCATGACTTCAAATTGTTATATAGAATGATTACAAATTATTTGTTGTTTGTGCAGCTTAGTCAAGAGTCCCTAATTGATGAAGTCGACTCAGATTCTGACGATTTAACTGTCAAGAAGAAACCTGTAAAAAAGTATGGAAAAAGAAAAATCAAAAACACTTTTCTTCAAGACTCGGAAAGTGACGAACCAAAGGCAAATAAGATTGTTATCATGCAGCTGCAAAAGAAGAAAAATGGGGGGCGAGTTTACAGCAACACTTCTGCCTCTACTGTTCAATGTCCTGCCACAAAATGTCCCGTCATTTGACTAGAAAACATGGAAATGAAAGTGACGTAGCCAGAGCATTGGCTCTACCTGTGAAATCTAAAGCACGTAAACTTCAGTTTGATTTGATCAGGAATAGTGGAAACCGTGAGCACAATTTTGAGGTTTTAAAGGCCGGCATTGGAACTTTAGTCCCAGCTAAACAGCCAAATTCCCCAGTTAAATCCAGTGAGTTTTTGCACTGTATAGACTGTGGGGCATTGCTTAAGCGAAAGTCGCTGTGGAGGCATGTGGCCAGGTTCCGGCTTTCACAGAAAGATGCCCAGGCTAAACCAGGTAGAAGTAGGGTCCAGTCCCTCTGCTCCCTAGCCCAGCCTGTACCGGAGGGCATCAGCAAAAAGCTGTGGTCTTTAATTTCGGCAATGCATCAGGATGAGGTCACGGGTGTTGTCAAAGCAGAAAAGGGGATTCTGAGACTCGGAGAGCACCTGTACTTAAAACACGGGCATGATAAGACTAAGCATGATTACATTAGGCAGAAAATGAGAGAAGTCGGTAGGTTAATTAACGAAGCAAAAACCGCAGGGAAACTGAAAACAATTAAGGATTTCTTTATTCCTTCCAACTTTAACCATGTGATTGATGCAGTCAGGTCTGTGGCTGGATATGATGAGGAAACAAATCAATACAAGACTCCATCCTTGGCCCTCAAACTCGGCCATAGCCTCAGAAAGCTAGCAGATATTCTTGAATGTGACTCAAAAATGGAGCATTGTGTTGATGAACTATTTATTAAAAACCTCCAACGAAGCCGGCTGCTTTTTGAGAAGAGGTGGGACGTCTGTGTTTCTTCTGCTGCCCTACAGACCCTCCGGCAAGCCAAGTGGAACACTCCGGACCTGCTCCCTCTGACTGAGGACGTTAGAGCCATGCATGCACATATTGAGGTATGTCACCCTGAATATGTGCAAACCCTAATAAGTGAGCCAACGTCTAAGCATTGGTCTAAACTGGCAGTTTTGACTCTTTGTGAGGTCATCATTTTCAATCGAAGAAGGGAAGGTGAGGTTTCAAAGATGCCACTGACAGCCTTTACCTTAAGAAGTAAGACTGGGGTCCATTCTGACATTGCTCTGGGACTGTCCCAACTTGAGAAAAAGCTGTGTCAGCATTTTCAACGCATTGAAATTAAAGGGAAAAGAAGTCGGAAAGTGCCGGTTCTTTTGACTCCTGAAATGATTGCTTCGATGGAGGTGCTGGTGGAGAACAGAAGGGCCTGTTCCATCTCTGACCATAACCCATACTTCTTTTCCCGCCCGGGCGCAGACACCCACATCAGGGGATCAGACTCCCTACGCCAGGTAGCCAAAGAATGTGGTGCGGTGCATCCAGAGATGCTATCCTCAACCAAACTTAGAAAGCACATAGCTACTATGTCTACAGTTCTCAATATGAAAGAGAATGAGATGGACATACTTGCCAACTTCCTCGGCCATGACATTCGCATCCACAGGCAATATTACAGACTACCAGAGGGGACACTGGAGCTGGCCAAAATCAGCAAAGTGTTGATGGCCATGGAGCAGGGAAGAGTGACGGAATTCGAAGGAAAGAGCCTCGACCAGATACAAATTGAGCCTGAAGGTAATTCTTGATATTATTAAAATATGTATGATTTTTTTCCCCTAAAGGCCACTTGTATTTTTATTTTCTGTGCGACAGGGAGAGCAGTAGAGATCCTCTCACAAACGGACGGGCTAAAAGAAACTTCAAGCGGAGAACCTTCAACCATTCATCCAGATGCACCCCATGGTAGTGGCAGTGCCCCTTCTGGTAAGTGTACCAGGTGGGGGATTACAGCCAGGCTGCTTGGTCCTCACCCTGGGAGTGTATATTGCTAATATATTTTTATTTCTCTCCCTAGAACGTGTAAGAAAGCCATGGTCTGCATCTGAGGTGAAGGCTGTGGAGAAGACCATGACACCTTTCATACAGACTGGAAAGGTCCCTGGGAAGTCTCACTGCCTGGCCTGCATTAATGCCTCACCAGATGACCTTAGACATTGGACATGGAGTGGCATTAAATTCTATGTCAAAAATAGAATCACTGCAATTCGAAAACAAAATCTAAAATAAAATTCCTTTAAAATAGTTGTTTGGTTTCTATTGACTGTTTTGTATTACTTAAAGTCTTGGTAAAAAAAGATTATGTCTATGGGTCCCATTCTGAACGGCCCTGTCAAAGGGACCCACCAGGTAACAAAAACGTGTATGTGTGTGTGTGTGTGTGTGTGTGTGTGTGTGTGTGTGTGTGTGTGTGTGTATATATGTAAAAAAAAAAAACACATTCACCTTTGGTTATCCCTCTCTAAGCTCGGGTCCTCTACCAGAGGTCTGGGAGCTTGAGGGTTCTGCGCAGTATCTTTGCTGTTCCTGCACTGCACATTTCTGGACCGAGATGTCTGAGGTTGTATATATATGTCTATATATGTGTATATATATATATATATGTGTGTGTGTGTGTGTCTGTGTGTGTGTGTTTCAGACTGACCTCGATCCGTGTCGTAGAGGAAGACAAACTTGGTCCAGTCGTAGTGGTCGAGGAGGCTCAGCAGCGCCCCCCTGATGGAGGGCCGTAACTGCAGCGTGAACTGGCTCTCTCCCTCCGTGGGGAAACTGGCTGTGATGAGCGAGATGTGCAGAGCGCCGCAGAATGACGTCAGCGTGTGCACTGAGCGTTTGTCGTACAGCCCGAAGATCGCAAAGACCCCGCGGGAGTACTGCGAGCAGACTGTAGGGGGAGACAGAGAGGAGCGAGAAAGGGGTTAGTGTCCGGGAATGTAATAGTTATTCTAAGATAATGTACTTAATGAAGGTTTTATTTCACTTTTATAACATGTTTGCACCATGACAGACCAGAGAGAGAGTACAGAGAGAGAGGCCAGAGAGAGAGGCCAGAGAGAGAGTACAGAGAGAGAGGCCAGAGAGAGAGACCAGAGAGAGTGAAACCAGAGAGAGATACCAGAGAGAGACCAGGGAGAGACCAGAGAGAGTACAGAGAGAGAGACCAGAGAGAGAAGCCAGAGAGAGAGACCAGAGAGAGAGGCCAGAGAGAGAGGCCAGAGAGAGAGACCAGAGACAGAGACCAGAGAGAGAGACCAGAGAGAGAACAGAGAGAGAGACCAGAGAGAGAGACCAGAGAGAGAGACCAGAGAGAGACCAGAGAGAGACCAGAGAGAGAGACCAGAGAGAGAGACCAGAGAGAGTACAGAGAGAGACCAGAAGAGAGACCAGAGAGAGAGACCAGAGAGAGAGACCAGAGAGAGAACAGAGAGAGAGACCAGAGAGAGTACAGAGAGAGACCAGAAAGAGACCAGAGAGAGAGAGAGAGAGAGACCAGAGAGAGTACAGAGAGAGAGACCAGAGAGAGAAGCCAGAGAGAGAGAGACCAGAGAGAGGGAGACCAGAGAGAGGGGCTAGCGAGAGAGACCAGACAGAGAGACCCGAGAGAGACCAGAGAGAGACCAGAGAGAAACCAGAGAGAGAACAGAGAGAGACCAGAGAGAGGCCAGAGAGAGAGAGAGACCAACATTCACAAAAGAAAAGATTCAGACTTGATTAATGAAAATACAACCACATCAGAGAAAAAAAATTACTTAAAAAACTGACACACACAAAAATAATAATAATAATGCATTGGTTTATACAGCGCTTTTCTGGACTCTCAAAGTCTCTTCACATCATTATTCTTTCTCTCCAAACACAGAGATGATTGTGATCTCCTTGGTCTTCTGTTGATGAGGAGGTGGTTCATCTCCTTGGTTTCTGTTGATGAGGAGGTGGTTCCTTCCTTGGTCTTATGTGATGAGGAGGTGGTTTCATCTCTTGGTCTTCTGTTGATGAGGAGGTGGTTCATCTCCTTGGTATTATGTTGATGTGGAGGAGGTTAACCTCCTTGGTCTTCTGTTGTTGAGGGAGGTCGTTCATCTCCTGGGTTTTTCTCGTTCCACAAAGTCCTGTATAAACTCCTCTGTCTCTGTGTCATCGACCTCGGAGCTGAGTCCGATGATGGCAGAGTCTTTGGAGAACTTCTGGAGGACACAACCGACGTGTTGTGTCTGAAGTCCCTGGGGGGGCCCCACATGCAGGTCAAGGGACCTCAGACACAAATTCCTGGTTCTCACAAACTGGGGCTGTCTGTGAGGTAGTCAGGATCCTACTGGGACAGGTAGTAGGTCACAACGGCTGTCTCCAGCTTGTCTCTCTCCGGTCTCTCTTTGGTCTCTCTCTGAGTGTCTATGGTCTCTCTATGGTCTCTATGGTCTCCTCTCTGGTCTCTCTAGTCCATCTCTGTCTCTCTCTGGTCTCTCTCTGGTCTCCTCCCTCCTGGTCTCTCTCTGTCTTTCTTGGTCTCTCTCACTGGTTCTCTCTGGTTCTCTCTGGTCCATCTCTGGTCTCTCTCTGGTCTCTCTCTGGTTCTCTCTCTGGCTCTCTCCTGCGTCTCTCTCTGTGTCTCTCTCCGGTCCTCTCTCTGGTATCTCTCTGGTCTTTCTGGCCTCTCTCTGGGTCCCATCTTGGTCTCTCTCTGGTCTCTCCCTGTCTCTCTCTGGTCTCTCCTGGTCTCTCTCTGTAATCTCTCTGGTCTCTCTCTTGCTCTCTCTCGGTCTCTCTCTGGTATCTCTTGGTCTCTCCTGGTTCTCTCTGGTCTCTCCGGCTCTCTCTATGGGTATCTTCTGGCCTCTCTCTGGTCTCTCTTGGTATCTCTCTGTCTCTCCCTGGGTCTCTCTGTCTCTCTCTGGTCTTCTCTCTGGTCCATCTCTGGTCTCTCTCTGGTCTCTCTCTGGTCTCTTCTGGTCTCTCCCTGGTCTCTCTTGGTCTCTCCTGGTCTCTACTCTGGTAATCTTCGCTGTCTCTCTCTGGCCTCTCTAGGTCTCTCTTGGTATCTCTTCTGGTCTCTCCCTGGGACTCTCTCTGGTTCTCTCCCTGATCTCTCTCTGGTATCTCTCTGGTCTCTCTATGGTTCCTCTCTCTGGTTCTTCTGGTCTCTCTTCGGTATCTCTCTGGTATCTCTCGGTCTCTCCCTGGTCTCTCTCTGGTCTCTCTCTTAGGTCTCTCCCTGGCTTCTCTGGTCTCTCTCTGGTATCTCTGGTCTCTGTCTGGTCTCTCTGTCTGGTCTTCTATGGTTTCTCCCTGGCTCCCTCCCCTTGGACTCTCTATGAGTCTCTTCCTGGTTCCTCTATGGTCTCTCCCTGGTCTCTCTCTTGGGTCTCTCCCTGGTCTCTCTATGGTATCTCTCTGGTCTCTCTCTGGTCTCTCTCTGGCCTCTCTCTGGGTATCTCTCTGTCTTCCCTGGTCTCTCTCTGGTCTCTCCCTGATCTCTCTCGGTATCTCTCTGGTCTCTCTCTGGTCTCTCTTGTTCTCTCTGGTCTCTCTTGGATCTCTCTGGTCTTCTCCAATGGTCTCTCTCTGGTCTCTATGGTCTCTCTGGTCTCTCTCTGGTCTCTTGGTTCTCTCTGGTCTCTCTCTGCGTCTCTCTCTGTTCTCTCTGTCTCTTCTCTGGTATCTCCCTGGTCTCTCCCTGGTCTCTCTTCTGTCTCCTCCTGGTCTCTCTGGTCTCTTCTCTGGTCTCTCTCTGGTTCTCCCTGGTCTCTCCCTGGTCTCTCTCTGGTCTCTCCCTGGTCTCTCTACATGTCTTTTGCACCATGACAGACCAGAGAGAGGAGTACAGAGAGAGAGGCCAGAGAGAGAGGCCAGAGAGAGAGTACAGAGAGAGAGGCCAGAGAGAGAGACCAGAGAGAGTGAAACCAGAGAGAGATACCAGAGAGAGACCAGGGAGAGACCAGAGAGAGTACAGAGAGAGAGACCAGAGAGAGAAGCCAGAGAGAGAGACCAGAGAGAGAGGCCAGAGAGAGAGGCCAGAGAGAGAGACCAGAGACAGAGACCAGAGAGAGAGAGACCAGAGAGAGAACAGAGAGAGAGACCAGAGAGAGAGGCCAGAGAGAGAGGCCAGAGAGAGAGGCCAGAGAGAGACCAGAGAGAGAGACCAGAGAGAGAGACCAGAGAGAGAGACCAGAGAGAGAGACCAGAGAGAGAACAGAGAGAGAGACCAGAGAGAGTACAGAGAGAGACCAGAAAGAGACCAGAGAGAGAGAGAGAGAGAGACCAGAGAGAGTACAGAGAGAGAGACCAGAGAGAGAAGCCAGAGAGAGAGAGACCAGAGAGAGGGAGACCAGAGAGAGGGGCTAGCGAGAGAGACCAGACAGAGAGACCCGAGAGAGAGACCAGAGAGAGACCAGAGAAGAAACCAGAGAGAGAGAACAGAGAGAGACCAGAGAGAGGCCAGAGAGAGAGAGAGACCAACATTCACAAAAGAAAAGATTCAGACTTGATTAATGAAAATACAACCACATCAGAGAAAAAAAATTACTTAAAAAACTGACACACACAAAAATAATAATAATAATGCATTGGTTTATACAGCGCTTTTCTGGACTCTCAAAGTCTCTTCACATCATTATTCTTTCTCTCCAAACACAGAGATGATTGTTCTCTACTGTAGCCACAGCTGCCCTGGGGCACACTGACAGAAGCAAGCCCCCTCCCACCACCAACACACACCAGACTCATTCTAATGTGGGGGAAGTGTCTTGCCTAAGGACACAACCACAGTTTGGCACTTTACAGCCGCAGCCGCCCCACTGTGACACCTGCTGTTCCCAGAGGTCTCCCATCACAGCACTAACCAGGCCCTGCCCTGCTTAGCTTCATTGGTCTGACAGGATCTGCAGGTACACTGACATTTGTTGCTGACAGTTGGATAGAGTGAAATACAGGGACAAAAGGACTTGACCTCCTCAAACACATGGATCTTAGCAGCACCTGGAGCATATCCTGTATTTTCCCAGCATGCTCCTCTGCTCTGGTCTGAATGCAGCTGATTGGCCGCTGAAAAGTGTGTGATTGCAGGAGAAAAAAACACTTCCATCTCCTGCTATTTCAGTCTCCTCGAGTTCTCTGTGAGCGCCATTAACAAAGAGAGAGAGACCAGAGCGAGACCAGAGAGAGACCAGAGCGAGACCAGAGAGACCAAAGAGAGACCAGAGAGAGACCAGAGCGAGACCAGAGAGAGACCAGAGCGAGACCAGAGAGAGACCAGAGAGAGACCAGAGAGAGACCAGAGAGAGACCAGAGCGAGACCAGAGAGAGACCAGAGCGAGACCAGAGAGAGACCAGAGAGAGACCAGAGAGAGACCAGAGCGAGACCAGAGCGAGACCAGAGAGAGACCAGAGCGAGGCCCGAGAGACCAAAGAGAGACCAGAGAGAGACCAGAGAGACCAGAGAGAGACCAGAGAGACCAGAAAGAAACTAGAGAGAAACCAGAGTGAGACTGGAGAGAGAGGCCAGAGAGAGAGACCAGAGGAAGACCAGAGAGACAAGAGAGACCAGAGAGAGACCAGATAGACCAGAGAGAGACCAGAGAGATACCAGAGAGAGACCAGAGAGGGACCAAAGAGAGACTAGAGAGAGCCCAGAGTGAGACTGGAGAGAGAGGCCAGAGAGAGACCAGAAAGAGAGTGAGAGACCAGAGATAGACCAGAGAGAGACCAAAGAGAGACCAGAGGGAGACCAGAGAGGGACCAGAGAGAGACCAGAGAGAGACCAAAGAGAGACCAGAGGGAGACCAGAGAGGGACCAGAGAGAGAGACCTGAGAGAGACCAGAGAGAGACCAGAGAGACCAGAGAGAGAGACCAAAGAGAGACCAGAGAGAGGGACCAGAG